GCAGAAGCCTCAATGCGATTTTCCCCGAGGCCCGAAACTCAGCGGCGTCTTGCCATTACTGTTCACACCACAGCTCCAAATGCCACCACCATTGATAACCTCCAACCCCCAGAGGGAAAGCCTGAAAACGAGACGATCGGGAAGCCCATCCTATGCAGCAACTCCTGTATGCAATTATTCAGCCATGAATGCTGTGGCCTTTCCATGCCCTTTGGAAAAATCACCCTGACCAAATGCACGCTGGGGTTGCTCGGTCTGGGGGCGCTGTGCATTTTAAGGTTAGAGCTTGTTGCCTGTGGTCGCCTTATTGATCCCGGGCAGCCTAGTGCTCTCTGCTTTTTGGAGATAAGGCAACAGACTCGACCCTCTCCTTATCCCACCAGCCCCGCCAGACTTACAAACAAACACCCAATTTCTAATCCACTTGTCGGCTGCTGAAGACAGGCGGGCCTTTATTTATACCCTTTCAAGCCATCCTCGGGGTCCGCTGTTTCGATAAGCCATGTAGGGACATCAGTTTTCTTGTTTGGAGGCACCCATCGCTGTCCTGATCCCCGTCTGTTTTAGCCAGACCGAGACAGAGGAGCCCAACCGGACGAAGCTCGAGGTTCATGTGGTCAGCGTGAGAGCATGAAAATAGGATCAAAATCATGTCCAGAACTGTGCGATAGCACATAGTCGAGACGACACAGTATGACGCAGTCAATGAGTTGTTCTTGGTTCCAGATTTAACATTTAAAATTGACCATATGTGCTCTAATTCCTGATCAAATTCACCGATAAAAATCGTAAACGCAAACGTTCAGTTTCAAAACCGCTTGAACACTGAGGGAATCTTGTCTCCAGAAAAACCCTCAACACCCCCTCAGACTGCAGAAATCAAATTCTGTCCAATCAGACCCACAATTACATTAGAGCCCATCCGATAGCAGCGCACGTGCTCGTCCACATGTGTTTTGGCGTTCGGCGTGTGGCGCAGTCCTGTCACCATTGTAATGAGGTGATTGATTGATGAGTGTGATTGCTGACATTGAGAGGTGGGCAGGTGGAAAAATACAAGGGGGGTGATTTGTTACCGCCTGCCACCTCTGTTATCGCTTATTAAATCAACAGGCAAGGTGAGGAGATATGAAAACAGGCGGAGAGAGGCAGGACTCCTGCAAGGATAAATAGATCAGCTCCTGCGCCATATGGAATACCAGTCCTTTAGGTGGCTAAATGCCAGCGTGACTGTACACACACCAGGAGCTGCTGTCGGTTAACCGGCGTCAGATGCCCTGACGGTCGAGTCAAGCGGTGGCATCTTCAGATAAGGCTTGGTTTGGGTCTCTTTTGTGTATGTGTGTGTCTGCAACGCTTATTTATTTTATTTATGGACCTATATTTGGCCTTGTTCATATTCCACACATGGCCAAATCTAGTTAATAGGGCAGTAAATAAATCAAAAATAGTACTATTCATAGTATATAGGCTTATTCATAAGTGGAGTGTTGTCTTGCTTCTTCTTTTACCGTTATAATTAAGCCGATATGTGTCTTTCGGGTGTATACGAGCTTCATCAGAAGGCTCTCTCACCACCGCAGCACAGACGCCTTATTTATGTGGAAAATGAACTGAGTAAAAATGAATAATTTAGAAACCTGTGGCAGGAGAATTTCTAACTTTCCTGAACGTTTCTCTGACGCAATGAGCAAAATCATTGCCAGAATGTGGTGTCTTTGCAATTTTGCCCTTTGATATTGTATTATAATTGGTGTCTTTAAAAAAAATGCACCTGCTATGAATTAGGGTGGCCCATAAAGTAATTCCACGATTGCATTATAATATCCTTCTAAAACATGTCGGCACTCAAGTGCGACTACTACAGTACAGATTTGATGTATTATGAATACGTTCTAAAGCATTACAATCCCATTTATTATTCATTATACACATATCTAAAGCTCTGCTGAAGCCCTACACGTTGTATCGAGTGCCTATGTTTAATCAAACGTACACCGGCCTTTGAATAAGACCACATCCCTTTAAGAACGTTTCTTCCCTGCCTGTATTTTCCATTTCTGTCTGGTACATTAAGTCTCTGAAACAGAAGAGGCGTCCTGTCATCCGAATGTGATAACGGAACAGTTAGCGTTCCTTTTGCCCTGCTCTCCATGTATAAATATGTATAATTCTGATAAGATTAATTGGATCGCCTAAGTACACACAGAGAAGGAGAGAGACTCTTGTTCCGGCTGCTTTCCGCAAATCTGCTCCGGGCCCACCTCACATTCCCCTGCTAAAGTGCTTCATTTTTTTTTTTCTGGAACAAACTGCCTTCAATTAAAAAAGAAAATGGCTTACCCAAAGGTCCCGAGGAAAAGGAGCCGAGCAAATGGCTTGAACACACTCACGATAAATAGTCCTGTTAAAATATTAAGCATTCTGAGAAGCGTTCGATACAAAATGCTCACCTTTGTCTTAATGGGGGAAACATGTTTCTTTGAATTTCCTCTTCTAAGAGAAATTATTCTCGCTTACTGCGAGGGATCTGAAAACATTTATAGGTCATATTTCACAACAAAATTCTGAAAGCAATTGTATATTTATTTAAAGGGGGAAAAAACATGCCCATTTTTAGGACCTTTTTTTGCATTTTTGCTATAGGGCTGTCAAACGATTAATCGCATGCAAAATCAAAGTTTGTGTTTACATAATATATGTGGGTGCACTGTGTATAATTAATTTGTAAATACGTATATATACACATACATTTATATATAAAATATTTATATTATATATAATATAAATTATTTATAAATCTATACACAGTATATACATGAAAATATTTCTTAAATATATGCAAGCATGTGTGTGTATTTTATATATAAAATAATTATACACAGTGCACCCACATATATTATGTAAACACAAACTTTGATTTTGGATGCGATTAATCGCGATTAATCGTTTGACAGCCCTATTATTTTGTTGATGATTAAGCACAATTTCACATTTTTAAATGTTTTTATTTATTCATTTATTTTAATTATTGTTAATTAAGCAATTGTTTTCATATTTTATATTTATGCTAATGAGACTTAAATTGAGGTTTCACTGAAAATGTCACAATGCAAAAAACACCCAGTAAATTATGCAGAATTACAAGTAACTAACCCTAAACCAAACCTTGACTATAACTGTAACTCTATATTAAGTAATTGTAGTTTATTGTAGTTAATTGTAGTTTCTTTTTGTTTGTGTTCTTACATGCTATATATATTTCACAAATGTTCCATGTCTGTTGACCTGTACAGGAAATGCAGTTTTGTATGTTACTTATTCTGATTTCCTGTTCCTATGTTATTATGTTATGGAGAGAGAGAGAGAAAATCCCCAAAATAACTACAGACCAAAGATCAAAAGCATCTCTCCCATAAACAGTATGGCACATTCTGGCAGGGCACTTCAGGCCTCTTCATTGGTTTTGGCAAACAACACCCAAGAAGCGTTCCCATGGCATCGGTCGTCACCGGTGAAAAATGAGCAGAACCAGCCAGTGCATATAACACAACCTATAAAGAGTCATCAAACCAATTCCCTTTAAATAAAGTCCCAAGACCGATTGTTTCTGTGTCAAACCAAGAAGTGGGCAGAGAGGAATTCTCCACCAATGCAGAGCTGGCAATAAACCTCCAGTATAAATGGGAACGGACGGGCCACATAAAGGGCCTCAATGTGATATTAATCCTGCACCGCAACGGTCTGGAAAGCACTCCGTCAAGCTAACGTGTTTTACTCCATCTCTGATACGGTTATGATAATAATGAGCTGTTCGTTTCACACATCAGCTCTGAGCGATGGAGGCTCAAGTCATTGGTGTGTTAAAGTGTTTTATTATTGGTGGAATTATGAATAATTTGTGGGGAAATCCTTCCATTAGGAGGTTGGTATACTTTCAATGCTGTGTGCTTTAATTTCAGATTGCATAATATTACCTGTGCTATAATAACCCATGAGAAAAACAGCTAATAAATCATACTAAGTGATGGTTTTTAAAAAAAAACGTAATGCAGAAAGTTTTGTGTGATGATGTTAGGGGACAGAATATGCAGTTTGTATGGTATAAAAATCATTATGTCTATGGAAAGTCCACATAAAACATAAAAACAACATATTATTCTGTATTATTTTATTATTATATACATGTTGATATTGATTTTTTTACTATTGTTTTAGTTTTAGGGCTTGATTTACTAACAGCGTGCACCAACACAAGCCCTGTTGTGGCATTAAAAAATGACGTTAACACTTTACTTGAAGGGGTGTGCATAAGACTGACATGACACCTTCATAACCATCACATGACATATGTCTTGAATATGAAGTAGGGTTTATACATGTATAAACTTTCGCTCAATAATGACATTTTGAATGCAAATATGACATTGTTTAAGACATCTTGACATAAACCAATACATCATAACCTGTGAGTGTCTTAGCACTAAAAAGTTGTGGACGGTTATTATTGCATATGCATTTGTAGGAGTTTCCCTTTCAGATGCAACATTTCTAGGACGAGACTTTTGAAATGAATTATGCAAGGTGATTTACTTGTAGGTTTGCGCTAGTCAATTTACTGGGATTTGCACCCAAAAAAAGCAGATGCTAATTTGGTAGATTGTGTTGGTCATTATGGAAATGATCTGACTCCATCTGTGTTCTTTATTTTGCGTGTTGTCAGTACAGTAGATCACGAGCAGAACTTTACACCCCCATCGGCTATTTAATGAAATTATGCTTTCATGCTAATTTACCCTGTTTAGTAAACCTGTCCCTTAGTGTCTTCCTCAGTCTTTCAAAAACATAATTTAATTTCGTGTTTTTCTCTTTCATGTTTTTGGCTTACAAAACGTTTTCTACATTTGGACTAATAGTACATAAAAGGTTGTGTTTATCCCTTTCAATCCCTCTTATTCTGTGTGAGTGTCATTAAAACGCTCTCTTTTTCTCCGTCTCAGGCCGCAGAATGGGTCTATGATCCTCTACAACAGGAAGAAGGTGAAGTACAGAAAAGATGGCTACTGCTGGAAGAAGAGGAAAGATGGGAAAACCACGCGGGAGGATCACATGAAGCTCAAAGTGCAGGGAGTCGAGGTGAGACGCTGTTCGCTATTAGAAACGTGATACCGTCTCTCCACAGCGGGAAACCTCACCAATGCACAATTAAACCATGTGACTAACCTGTTTAGTGGAGGACTTGTGTGCATCTGGCATTGGTGTCACCAAATAGATTGGAAATATGATTGTGTTCGAACAAGTTTCCCAGATACTGAAGAGAAAACTGCAGTCTGTTGTTTGTTGTCTGGCTGATTTCATGGCTCAAGTATGTTCATCATTGATCTTGCTTGAGCGAGGATGTGTTTGTGTGTGTTTGTCCATTTTACATGACCTTTCTAAGATCTGAAGCCCTCTTGAAACAGCCCTCCCCTCCGTCCCACTGCGGATGACTCTAATGTGTCAGCTCAGGCATGGCCCCTTTAAATGAAGAGCCGTAATGAAGCATGTCTCCGGTCGCCGCGTTCCCGCTCACTGCCTCTAATGAAGAGAAATGTCAGCCAATTGTCGATTTAGCGCGGTGATAGAACGAACCTACGGATGAGTGCGGTCGCGCGGTCTCCTCTGATGCTCTACCTAGGCGAGTCGTTCACCTGAGCCGCGCGCACTGATCTTACTCAGCTATATGAGACGGAGGCAACGTTTAACGCATAAACATTGCTGATAGACACTGAGAAGGCATGTGTAGCCTTTAAAGAGATGGATCATCCAAGTAGTACAATTCTGTCATTGTTTATCAACCACTGTGACTATGAAACGCAAAATGAAATGTTTATACAGCTACTGTAGAGTTAATGGGAACTGCAACTATCAAACTAAAAACACAGGACAATTAAAACATCCCATAGTCAAGTCAAGTCACCTTCATTTATATAGTGCTTTTAACAATATAGACTGTTCAAAGGAGCTTTAACTGGTCCATACAGCTGTGCGCTAATATTCAAATCTACGGAAGTCGTCCCGAATCATTATGACATGCAAGAACCAATGATGTTTGTCTTAAAGGAGGACCTTTTGCTGATAATTTACTCACTCCCATGTCATCCATGATGTCCATGTCTTTCTTTCTGCAGTCGAAAAGAAATGAAGGTTTTTGATGAAAACGTTCCAGGATTTTTCTCCATATAATGGACTTCAATGGGGTCCAAACGGTTCAAGGTCCAAATGAGAGTTTCAGTGCAGCTTCAAAGGGCTTTAAACGACACCAGACGATGAATAAGGGTCTTATCAAGTGAAGCAATCGCTCATTTCAAAAAGAAATGAAAAAAAATTTAAGGTTTATAAGCACAAATGCTCGCCTTGCTCTGTTCTGTGATGTGCGTTCGTGACTCTCCTGTTCGAATTCGTTCATCAAAATGAACGAATCCTTAAAAAAGAGTAATTTTGTTCATTTTGTTCGTTGAATGAACCAAAAGACTCAAAAGATTCATTCATTTACGTCTTTTGACGTTTAAAGCCCTTTGAAGCTGCACTGAAACTCTCATTTGGACCTTGAACCGTTTGGACCCCATTGAAGTCCATTAAATGCAGAAAAATCCTCGAATGTTTTCATCAAAAACCTTAATTTCTTTTTGACTGAAGAAAGAAAGACGTGGACATCTTGGATGACATGGGGGTGAGTAAATTAAAAGCATTTTTTTTTTTAAAGTGAACTACTCCTTTTAACATGCCAAGCTTGAATATGTGCAAATTGAATATGTATAGATGTTGGTCTCTGGTTGACTTTGTAATTAATATTGCATTAAATGTTTGAAACGACAGAAGGGTGAGTAAACATAACAGAGTGATCATTTTAAGTGTTTCATATTTTCCGGGCACATGTAATGCTTCTAAAATACATGATTTCATGAATCAAAACGAGAGAACCAGTCTCTTGTTTGAATAATTATACAAACAAATGACTCTTATGGACTGGCTCTTAAAATGTATAATTCTAAACAAATTCTATGGACTTCTTTTATGGTAACTTTTTGTCTGTTTTTGAGCTTGAATTGCCCTGGTCACTATATGCTTTTGTTATTTTGAAAAGAGCAGCGTGAAAATGCCCTCAACGATGTAAGGAGATGAGTAAAGATTGCATAATGTTCTTTTGGGTGAACCATCTCATTAAAACGTAATTTCCAGGCAAATGTAATTGTTTAACACACTTCATGCCTGTCATATTTCCTCAGCTTGCGTTGAATTGTGTATTTGTCCGTCTGTGAAAAGCATTATGTGTGGTGCCGATCGCAGACTCTGCTGTAGAACATCCCTCGGGCCATTTTTCAATGCGGATCATTCCTCCAAATTTGTTTGACGTGTTGAAAACAGGGTAGAAAATGGGTGGACAGCTGATGTTGAATCAATAATCATACAAGATGTTTCTGTCTAGAGGGACGGCAGGTCTGAATGAACAACGACATTCTGACTGATGACGGTTTCACCTGCACTGGGCCGAAAGGGCAATGGTGGCGACTCTTTTGCTTTGTTTTCCAGTTTGCTGGCCGTGTAATTAAACGTATTAGGATGTAAAATCCTAGAACAGAACTATTTCCAGAGATTCATCCTTTTGGAAATTTGCATTTTACATTATATTGGGATGCACATATTTCAGGCCGTTTGTGTGTGTGTTCAACCAATAAGCACATTTCTTATTTCTGGATCCAATCAAGCGAAGTAGGATACATTAGCGTACATTAGGACTTAAATCAGATTCAAATGTGTTTTATTTTGTCTCTATGAGACACTCATGGGGATTTTGGGCTGCAACAATGACACAAATGCCCATAGGCTTGAGAGAGAGTGAGAGAGAGAGAGAGAGAGTTCAAAAGAAAAGGCGCTGCAGGGGATCTCTGCAGTTTTTAAATGGGAAATATTATTCATGTTGTAGCATGGTTTCCTTTTTTCCTTAGACTAAAATAATCATAATATAGCTTTGTACATACATTTAACACCCTTCTCTGACCCATGGATTTAAACATGTTTTTTCTACACTCCCTTGATGACTATGACCCCTATTACAGACATCTCACCCTGCAAAAATGTATTAGTATTCTATATTATATAATATTCATATAAGCTGTGAAGCAAGGGTTCATTCATTTAATAGTATTTGTGTGCCCAAAGTGAAAGTAATGTAGATTGTTTTGAAATTGAGGGGAGCATCTCAAAGTGTTAACAGAAGATGCATTTGAAACGCAGGATATGAAACGCTATCAAAATGCGGGATACTTCCGGGAGAGGTGTGATGTCTGCTGTTATGATTGGCTAACTTTATACATCATTCACACTGTCATCCATCAGTTTAGCGTGCAGAATTCAGAACAAATGATCCTAATGAGCTGGTTCTTCTACTGAATCAGTCACAAGTCCATTAATAGAACCAGCTCACTAGAGATGAACAATTTTATTGAATCAGTCAAACGGATTTACTGATTTATTAAAAGAATCAGCTCACAAGAGTCTTTGTGTGTGATTGTATGAGCTGTTTATTTTTTATGAATCTGTAAAAAAAGATTCACTGATTCATTCACAGAACCGACTCATAGGAATCACTTGTTTGAAGGTTTGTATAAGTATCTCAAAAATATACAATAGTTCATTAGAAGATCTCATAGAAGTAATATATTTGTGAATCAAACCTTTTCTTGATTAATTGATTGTCTTTTTATGATTTGCGTAATTTTATCCTACCACATTTAATTTCTGACTGCATAATTACAACATACAGCAGGTACTTGAACAGCAGTGTTGGGAAACAGTTCACCAGAGCACTTATAAAGGCACAGAAACCTGCCCCTGAGCTCTCCATCATAAGCCATTCCTGCCCTCTAGACACCAAACACACATTAAAACACTCTCTCTATCCCTTCACTCGCTCTGTTTGCTCTGATAAAGAACTAAGCCATTTACCAGCATCCACCAGAGTCCCTGGTTACCTAGCGATGGTGGCAGTAGCCATGGGAGCGGTAGTCACAGCGACAGAGAGGATAATTGCAGTAGTTAGGTAGTTTCACTAAGAAACTATGATGATGGAGCTGCGAATGAAACCAGCGGGGATGGGATCTGTGTGTGTGTGTGTGTGTGTGTGTGTGTGTGTGGTCCTGGTATTCCCTATTCCCTACATTTATAAATCATACTGAATAATGTTTTTTGAAAATCTGAAATAGCAGAAAGTTTTCTGTGAAGGAAAGTTTTAAGGGTAGGGTGAGTGTAAGGGGATAGAATAAACGTCCCCATAAAATGTTGAAACCCAACGTGTATATGTGTGTGTGTGTGTGTGTGTGTGTGAGAGAGAGAGAGAGAGAGTCACCAAATCTTTGTTTTAATTAAATTGATAATTAAAAATTAAAAATAATCGTTTTAACGGTAAAAGAAAAAAACTGTTTATTGGTTAACAGAAAGTTATATACGGTAAATAACCAGAATAGATCTAATTGTACATTTAATGTAATTTTACTGTAAAATACTGTTAGATTTGCAGTTTTTGGAAGTAAAAAAGCACAATTCATTGTATAATTTACAGTGAAAAACTGTAAATTGTTTAAACACTTCACATTTGAAGTATTTTTTTTAAATAACTGTTTCTTCATAGTTTTCTTCGTTTTTTTTCTAATCATTTATGTATATTAGGGTTTTATGTTACATGTAATGTTGTTAAATTACTGTTTATGGCATTTTTTAAATTTGTGTGTTACCATGATGGTCTTGCGAATGAGATTTGCTTAAATACAATAGTATTATCTTTCTTGTGGAAGAGCTGCTTGTGATGAGCTTTGATTGATCATGTGACTTTCATCACTGCTGTGATTGGTGATTATGAGTGTACTGTATTGCAATGGTACAAAACAGATTTTAATACTCCAATATGTCGGTAAATGAACATTATATGAGGTAATGAAATATGGTAAATTGTATTTAAGTCTGTAAAACCAATAACGTTGCTACCATATTTTTGACGGTAAAGTTTTGGCAACCACAGCTGCCGGTATTTTACCGTAAAAATTATGTGTTATTTTTTACAGTGTAAATAGAACACAAAACTTAAACATGAAAATGTC